TTCTTCTTCTTCTTCTTCTTCTTCTTCTTCTTCTTCTTCTTCTTCTTTTCTCCTCTTCTTTCCTCTAATTCTTCTTCTCCTCTTCCTCTTCTCCTTCCTCTCCTCCTCCTTCTTTTCTCCTCTTCTTCCTCTTGTTCTTCTTTTCTCCATCTTCTTTTCTCCTCCTCCTCCTCCTCCTCCTCCTCCTCCTCCTCCTCCACCTCCACCTCCACCTCCACCTCCACCTCCAACTCCACCTCCACCTCCTTCTGCTCTTGAATGAGAAGAGAAACATTTTCAAGGGGGAAAAAAACCCAAGAAACTCCAGTTGCCATTTGGAAAAGCATCTTTTGAGACAGCCATGACTTGACTGGTTGAGAATGGCCATCAAGAGAATGGCCTGGAGAAGATAACCAAAGGGAACCGAAGAGCCATTCCCCGATACAACTTCAAGGTTCTTCAAAGCTGCCCTCAGAAGGCCGATTCTTCAATGATTATTGCTGAAATGACACCATTTGCTTTTGAGGTGATCATGTACACAGCCTATGTAGAAAGCTAAGGAGGATGACTGCATAAGAGAACAATTATTGTTGTTATTGTTATTAAATAATTCTGCCTGAAGGCACAAGATCCAATCAGAATATGCAACACAGCTGCAACGTAACACTGACTTCATCTAAGGAAGTGTGCTTAAACAGTTTATTCGGACTTTGCATTGAGCTAATAATAATGGGGGAAGTGAGTCATTTGGTACCCGAGCCTGAGGGTTTTAGAGCTGGACAGGCATGTTGGATGCCCACCTCTGACATTGAGTGAAGAAGTGTGTGCAATTCTAGATAGTTTTCAACTTATGGCCACGTTTGAGCTCAGGGGTGGGATTCAAATTTCTTAACAACCAGTTCTGTGGGTGTGGCCTAATTTGTGGGTGTGGCTTGGTCATGTGACTGGCTGGGCATGGCTGGGTGTGGCTTGCATGTAAATATTGTAAATATTTATGTAAATATTGATTATTTTTTTAATTTAAAAAAAGAGCAACTTTTACCCAAAATCAGGCAAAGCAGGCAGGCAGATTGAGCTGCTCACGGAATCACAGATTCATTCAGAGATCTATTCTTCTGCAATCGGCTACCTGAGTCTGTCACATAAAATTTGCTAGCAAGCAAACTCACAAAATTAACTCACAACACACTATGTATGTAAATATTGGATTTTTTATTTAAAAAAGAGCAACTTTTATCCAAAATCAGGCAAAGCAGGCAGGCAGATTGAGTTGCTCCCAGAATCACAGATGTCTGTCTTTCTGCAATCTGCTACCTGAGTCTGCCCTGAAACATAGAAGTCCTAAGGAAGGTTCGGCTCTGCTTTTAGATTAGCTAGAAAGCAAGAAATCCAAGATTCCCTGCTTTCTAGCTAATCTAAATCTCCCAGCACAGCTGATAGTCGGAACAGCTGATGGTTGGGGGGGGAAAAAGGAAAAATAGCAACTTACCAAAAATTAGGCAAAGGCACAACGCAGGCAAGTTGGATGCCGCGCATGCCAGGGAAGGAGTGAGTGGGCGGGGCGGGGCGAGGCCAGCCAGTCGCGCTATTTGCTGGTTCTCCGAACTGTGCGGAATTGTAACAATCGGTTCTATAGAACCGGTCCAACCAGGCAGAATCCCACCCCTGATTGAGCTCCGCAGCTCGGTCATTAAGCAAGGCAGCTGTTAGCAAGCGAGCCATGTTGTATTTTACATACTTTTGCCTCGGCAGCGAAGCCAACCATAGACATAGAATTAACAGGGTTGGAAGGGACCCTGGAGGCCATCTAGTCCAACCCCCCTGCTTGAACAGGAGAGTCTACTCCAAAATATTAGCCTCTACCTAGGATGGAACTCACCGCCTCCCGATTTGTGAGGCGCAGAGTTCCACCTCTAGAAACTACCGCAGTTCTTAAGCGAATCGTACCATCATGAAGCGAATCCGGGCTCATCAGAAGCCAGCTGGGAAAGTAGCCAAGGGGGGGAAATCACGTGACAAACCTCCCCTTCCCCTGGGGCTTTGCAACTCTTGCAAGTAATGCCAGTTGCCAAGCGCCTGAATTTTGATTCATGGGACCGGTGGAGATGCCGCAGCCACCGTAAGTGTGAGAACCAGGCCCGAGTCACTTTTTTCCATCACCGCTGTAACTTTGAAGGAGTCATTAAATGAATCATTGCAAGTTGAGGGCTAACTGTTAATGCAATACAGTGGCAAACACTGGGGACAAACAACCACAATAAACATTGCATTATTGCCCTCATTACACCTAAGAAAAGGCCAGAATACATACATACATACATACATACATACATACATACATACATACATACATTCAAGAAATTAACGCAGGCCCCAGAGGCAGAACTAAATAAGAGAGAGAGGGGGGGGGAGGGAGAGGGAGGGAGTGAGTGAGATTGGCAACGGTTTGTTCTCAAAGTTTGTTTCAGTTTAGTTTCTGAACGTTTTGTTACCAGACTAGGTAATATCATCAGCAGAAGATTAGATAGATAGATAGATAGATAGATAGATAGATAGATAGATAGATAGATAGA